GCCCAACGCGAGGAATTTCATTCCCAGCTCCATGCCCCGGCTGTACAAGTCGCGGATGCATGTCTCAAACCAATCGTCGCTACAGATAAATATGCTTCTCGGCCTGTGCATTGAACTGGTAGAATATCTCAAGCCAACGTTGGCTCGATCTTCAGGTGCGACCAGGAAAAGAGATAAAGCGTACCTAAAGACTAGGGATCCACGCCAGTGACTATGTGCCTGGGCGGAAAGGTTTTGGAAAGCTGAGTGTTTTCGAAATCATGACCTCCTTGTCCAAATTCTTGCTCGAGCCAAAACGACCCGGTCGTAACAAGCTTGATTTTTTGCCCGCCATCAATGACCATGAACTCAAAAACTTTTCCCTAGGATCACTAAGTCTCCGTTGCATATTCTCTGACGGTTCTCAAGACCAGGCCCCCCAAAAGTGTTCGAAACGAGCCATGCTGAATTTGTACCCGACCTTATTGAGGAGGGTACTTGCTACCTATTGTTCTAAATGTATCGCAATGAACCACAGTTTTCTGGCACTCTGATTCGTATTATTCGTAATTAGCTGTCCAATAAAGATATCGTGTATTCATGACAAAGCAAACGATCATTATGTCCATTACATACGCCTAACCCCAAACAGGACCTGGTATCATATCTATAACCGAGTCTAGAAAAGCAAGACTCCCAGAGTAAATGCCAAACTCCACGCAATGCATCCATAAACTGCTTTCCCATGCATCAGACTTGTGGCAGCACTGTCGTCGCCGTCGTCTGAAGAGTTGCTGGGGTCTCCAGCCGGGCCTGGTGTAGACGTCGTCGCAGTACCAACACCTGGAGACGCCGATGTGAGAGCATCACATGCCGTGGGGTCAGGTTCAGAAGTACCCACCCTAGCGCCAATGTTTACGACGACTGCCTCGGCATCCCGCAAAGGAATGCTTGCCTTGCCATCGTTTGCGACCTTCACAGTAATGTCCTCGTTGGAAACCTGTGACTGCGTGCCTGCATTGTCCTGCTCGAAGCTGATGCCATTCCATGTTGTGCCGTGGGTAGCGTCTGATCCATCGGCAGTCAAGTAGCCCAAGTGCAGTGTTTCGCCCGCAAGGGAGGTCGGGAAAGTCAAGTCAACCGTAATGTTGGACTTGGATGAGTCAGACACGTTGGCAATTTTGCCATTGAGCAAAACGACAGAAGAAAGGGAGTCGCTCTGGTAGACCGAATAAGCCTTGAGGTAGTCCGCATAGCCAGAGGGAGCGTTCGAGATCGACTCTTCGGCGATGCGGGCGGTACATGATCGGCCAAGAGTCTGGCCGAACGCCGCGAAGGCATAGTAGAGAGGGCGAACGAAGCGATCCCGGCCGAACATGCGCGTTGGCTGCCAAGCGCTGGCGTTGCTGTCAAAGGTCATATGGAATTGAACCGAGGTGATGTTGAGTGTTGCGGCGTAAAGAAGGAAGTTGAAGGTCCATAGGGCGGCAGCGAAAGTGTCGCTCAATCCCTCCACGCCGAGAGGCCCGACGACAGACATTTCTCTCAACGCGAAAGGGTAAGGCGTCTCCTTTGCTTGGTCTAGCTGACCCTCAATCGTGCTGAACTGCTCTTTGGTGTTGTCGAAGTGCATCATGTAATCCAGGGTCAAGGGGTATGGGAACGACCCCACGAAGTAGTAGTAGTTATGCTGGTTCCAGCTGGTGATGAATCCCTTGTCTGAGTTGTTGGCCTTGACATCGAGGTAGCTCTCCAAGTCCTTGATCTCGAATCCGGTACCAGTGACCCAAGCGGTGGAGGCGGAAGACTCAAAGAAGTTACTTTGCAGGTTCTTAGGTTGCAAGACCTCCTCCCAAACGGCGCGTGCTCGATCAAGCCACTCCTCTGCATATACCGAGCCGGACCAAGATCCCTTTCTGAACCCGTTGTAGTTGTAGAGGTCTGGCTCGTTTCCGAATTCGAATGAGACGAGGTTGAGATTGGTGCATCGGTCGATGATTTGCGTCGCCATGGTCGTCAGCCTCTCGATGTAGTCCGACTCGGCGTATCCCAAGTTCAAGCCCCATGTAACGGGAGTTCCCTTGGGCAAACGGTTGGCAATCTCCATAAACTTTGGACCGACAATGAAATTGTCTGCCGGGACATCACCCGGCGCGGTCGGCTTCGGGTTGGGCTTAATGAGCCAGTCGTCCTGCGAATCGTCGTAAATCAGATAATCCTGCGTGTTGCCACCCAATCGCATGTGCGCCGGTCTGCCGGTGAAATTGGCAAGGTTGTTTAGAAGGTTTATCGTCAGGTCATTGGGAGTTTCGTCTCCCATGAAGTAGTAGAGATGGTCAAGTTCGATACCGAAGCCGGCAAACGACGGGTCGACGGTCGCAGAAATGTCGGAGGGAACATCTTCGGACAGCGATAAGGACAGGACTGAGTCGGCGGCGAATGCTGCAGAGATGAGGCCGAAGCCAGCTAGGAGGCGACTCTGCAACGGCGCCATTTCAGAAGCAACCGGGCAAATAATTAAGATAATTTGTTAGTAGTGTTTGGCTAGAACCATCGTGAGAAACGCAGCGGGGGCGGTCAGCCGCCTTAAAAGACGTTGGAACATAAAGATCGGTCACCGAAACGGGCGGTTTCATCGCCCTCCACAGATTTCATCATCCTTGTGGACCAGGTCGAACCAACCGAGCCGGAGCTTTTGCGCCTGTGTCAGTTGAAATCCATGTTCACCTCCCGTTTGATGGTACCAAGGCTGGGCAGCAGCTCCAGTCTGACGCGTACTACGCGGCCGGGCGGTGACTCTGTGTGTCTGTGTTCTCCTCTCTGCAGTCAATAGCTCGAAATCGTTGGCGATGAGAAAGGGCCGAGATGCACAACCCGGTTTTTTTGGGAGATTTTCACGCTTCCACCAGGCCCGGCTGGCGAACAATTGGAGAGCCTAGACCGTCCGCCGTGAGAATGCCATGCCTGTTTAGGCGCTGCGATGCCGTTGTGCCGTGATTGCGACAGACGGTTGGTGGGTTAATGACATCAGGGAGGGAAGCACTCCCTGTTGGTTCTGCGGGCCAAGACGTTGGCGGTTTGTCTCGCCCCGCAAAACGTGCGTGGATGGCAGGGAATCCCATGGCCATCGGTGATGTCAACAAGACGTTTAGCGATTGTGGCAGGGATAGCAGCCCCTGTATTCCCTCCATCCCATCGCTTGCAGGTGAAGAGACGTGACAACCTGGCAAATTTGGTGCATCGGAAGTTGGGGTGACATGAGCAGGTCGGGAGGACGGGAGCTACTTCGTCTGACATGAGTTTGATAGAGTTATGGCTGCTCCCAGAGGCCTGGCACCTCTCCCTCGCTTGCCTTCACGAATTGTCCGAATCGTCAAAGAGAGTTCTGTCCTGCAGGAACAGCGGAACGGCTTTGTCGATTACTGTCGATCATCAGCCATCGACACAAAATTAGAAACGCCGGCCCACAGGATACTGAGCCAGTACAGCTGATTTTGTTGTTTGAAAGGATGAGAATTGAGGAGACGCTCGCCACACGTTTCGGCGCGGAAGCAAAACGAACAACGGAATACCGGGACCGCGAATATGTGGATAAGCGATAGGGGATGATAAGGATCACCGGTCGCAGCCTCAAGAAAGCACCACTGAAGGATGAGGAGCGTTGGATGTCTTTGACGCGGCTGACGTCAACTGAATTAACAGAGCGCGCCGCGCTGAACCAAGTGTTTGTTGTCACCAGGCTGTCCTGGGTTTGCAGCTTGAAACGTGCCCGCCTGGTTGAGCCGCCATGAACGACAAGATCGGGATCCCGCTTTTTGCGACCGAAGTTTGCTGGTCATGGGATCCAGCCGGCATCTCGGCTCCACACACCAGGACGCACAGAATTTCTTGCAGCTGGCGTGCCGTCATTATGAGCATCAGTTGGCTCATGGCCAGGCCAACGAACTGTTTGCCTATCAAGCCAGAGAGGATTTCAACAAACGCGCGTCAATGCATTCTAACATGGCATTTCTTCCATGTTAGTTTTCATTCACACGGGGCTGTCACGCTCTCAGCAAGACCTATGTCCACATCCATCCAAGCAAACACTGCAAGCACGCAGCTGGCTCCCGGGAATACCATAGGATTTCAACCCCCACACTTGACTGCCGCGGTCCCATCTTCCATGTAGTGCTGTTTCCTCTCCACTTGGTGCAGAGCTTTTCAGCCACCGCTCTGCATCTTCGCTCAAGCTCATTCAATTGCCAGCTGGCGCGGCTCCAGCTGTGATCATCAACCACATCGTGAGCCCGCCCTGGCTTCTGACGTTTGTACGTTGGATCCCACTATCCGCACATTCCTTGGCAGGCTGTCTTAAAATTTTTACTGATCTGGAAGACCTTCCCTACGCGTGCGCGTCCGCCCGGGCCTTCGTCACTCCGATCCAGCGAGACAGCCCGGGTGGTTGTGCCGGGAGTCCCGGGGAGACGGGTAGATCACGATCATCACAAAGACCGGAACCTCCAATTGGTCTGACGCCTAAGCGGGGCCCATCATCGTGACATGCTTGTGGGCAATGAGGATCATTTGAAATGATTTCCTGGATTACGCAAAACCTGCTTCCCGCTCTATCATTAGAATCATTGAGATGCGCAGCATCGCAACGCTGGAGTGGTTTTTCATTGCAAACATCTGCAACGAATTGGCAAACAAGGTGGCCCACTCCGTCGTGGAGCCGCACGGGCTATGCATCGATAGGTGGGCTAGATTCCAAAAGTCACCGTGTTGCATTGTTTGCATTATGCACAAATTCAATGGCAAAGAAGCACTTTGCTTCTTAACACTGCGTTCACCTAGTTCTACGGAGGAAGACTTCACGGGTGTTTCTGTCAATGTGCTAGAGGGTCATTACGTTCCTTCAAATCTCGAAACAGTCTACATGACAAAGAGTGCTCCCGATCGGTTTAATTTCCTCAAACTCTCAGTCTCAAATTCGTAACCCATAGCGTTCCATCGCACCGTTATTGACTCAATTCCAAAGTTTAACAGTACTCGCAAGCGCCTGTAGGGCAGTAACCGTGGCTGCAGCTGAAGCTGCAAAGTCCCTTGTAGCTGTCGTCAAGTCCGGTGGCGGGGCATCCGTCCCGTCCATCGCCACCCGGGCTGGTGGTCTGCTCGCCGTAAGAGGCACACTCACAGACACCGTCAGGGCAGTATCCGTTGGAGCAAGCGAAGGCACAGAGGCCGCTGTAGTTGTCCGACAGGCCGGACTTGACCTTGCCGGAAGTGCAGAAGGAACCGGTAGAAGTCGGGGCGGGAATGCTGGATGTCGCGGTCGCGGTCGGAGTGGTTCCAGAGGGAACGCACTTCTCCTTGATGTAGGCGGCGCCATCATTTGTGTACAGCTGGAAGTAGTTGGTGTGGGCATCCTCGCCCATCGTGCGAGTACCGTCACCATAGGCACAGACGGTGTCCTCGCCGTTGCACCAAGAGCGCAGGACACTAGAAAAGTTGTTCAGGTTGGCGAGAGACGAGCTAGAGCGAGCCATTTGGCCGCTGTAGGTGGATCCGGCTTCGACGTTGTAGCTTTGGTCGGCAATGTGGGTTGGGTCACCGAAAAGGAGTGCAGCGCAAACTGGGACGGATTAGCAACCGACTTCTTGGAACGTTGTTCCAACAAACTAACCTTTGCTGCCGGGCGTGGAAGTGGCATCGAGGCCCGAATCAGCGAGAATGTCGCCAACAATATTGGCACCTTCGCTGTAGCCACTCAGGACGATCTTGGAATCGGGGCACTTCGCAACGTAGGCCTTGATCTGAGCAACGCCGGAGGTTCGGCCCTCCTCAACCGCATTAGGGTAACCCGAGGGGTTTGACGCATCGAAAAGGATGTCTTCGTAGTCGCAGCTGGAAAGACCGGTGCAGGTAGCCTCATAAAGAGACTGTTGGCGTCCGGGGTAGCCCTCGTTCCAGCCACGAGCGAAGAAGAGGTGAAGATCGGTGCAGGATCCGGAGCCAGTGGATTGACGCTTTCCGGGGGCCGCGGAGGCCAACAGGATGAAGTTGAACAGGGTGGTGATGGCCTTTGGTGACAACATATTGACTGATTAATATTATGAGTATTATTACCGTCTAGTTGGTTGAAATCGGAAAAAACGAGTGACTGGTCGTGGACGATGAGATCGTTGGGACCAAAAGATGCAAAAGATTGATTTCCGGGGAAAACGGAGTCTTATTTCAAACCGGAGGCTGAAGGTGGACCATGGGGATAACCCATCGGTCCATTGTTGCATCGAGTAAATACAACTCTCCCCTGATGCTGCTTGTCCGGGCGAACCGATAAGAAGTTATTGTGGGTTTCGTCGGTGTTGACCCTCGAAAATAGCAAAGTAATCGTGGGTTGGTATCATTCGCAGGGATCTAGAGTGGGACTCGCACGAGCTTAGTTGCTAGGCTGACTCTCGATACGAGGCAGGTAAGCAATTGTGGATGTCGACTGATGAATGTTATGCGGTCTGGAAAAGGGGCACCATTGCCGTAACAGCACACAGCCAACGGCTATAGGTTCTCTTTATGCAAAGTACTTGGCTTGTTCTCAATTGAGAAGTATCGCAGTGGCTGAAGTATTGTCAGTTCATTTGTACAGAATTGCACATTCCAAATCTGGTGCGTCCTAGTAGGATTTATGTGCGCACATGGTGGCCCAGAGTTCCCGGCGGAATGACAATAGATCCTTTCAGACGTATGTGCCTGGCAGGCAGGATAAGACCTGCGTTGTGTCTTAAAAGCATAGGGGAGAAATTCTACCTATCATCAAGCTGTCTCAACTTTATTGACAATCTCATTGAGCCCCAAGCCCCAAGAAACTGTTTTAACAGGCGATGTCTTCGGATACGGGGGGCCCCTGTCAAGTCATCGTCGGAGAGGACAGGGCTACGGCCCGGATCGCCGGAACTCGGACGATGAGCATCGTCATTCGCGTGCTTCTTGACTCAATATTTGGCGGTCGTTATTGCGGATTCGAGAGCTCCCATTCGGTCTTCCAATGGCAATTCAGCATGTGCAATCGGGAATGTTGGCGGCACGTTCAGGTCGCCTGAGATGCAATCGACTACTATGAAGTACATCAAAAGCTTGTGCTTCCATCAGAATAGATAGTGACAGCTTCATGTCGGCGAATCGGTGTTTTCGCCCGGGCAAGACATATTGCTGTCAGACTTCCGTCAGGATGGACCCCGCTATCTTGCGTCAAAGGATCAATGGAGCCCCAAAGAGGGGTCGTCACCTACGCGGTTGGTCTGACGTCTGATGCTTCATCCACCGACAGGAATCAATTCTCACCCTCACTTGACATTCATTGGCCATCATCGCGATAGTCGCCGCTATTGATTTGCATCAGCATACGCTCGATTACTCCGACATTATGTGGCTTATCAATCTGCAAACTCTGGAACTCGAGGAATTCCTCGGCAGCGATACTCCTGACTACGCCATCTTGTCGCATACTTGGAGCTGCGGGGAAGTGACATTTCAGGATTGGACCGACCGATCTCTAGCCTCCCAAAAACAAGGATACCAGAAGATTTTGGATGCATGCGCCCAGGCACGTGGTGCGGAATATAACTTCCTGTGGGTGGACACGAATTGTATCGATAAGAGCAGCTCATCAGAGCTCACCGAAGCCATCAACTCAATGTTTTCTTGGTACTTCCATTCGGGAGTGTGCTTTGCGTATCTCTCCGACATACCAACATCTGGGCAAAACTTCGACGCAGAGGGTATTTCCTGTAGCCGGTGGTTCACTAGAGGCTGGACTTTGCAAGAGCTTTTGGCTCCCAAAGAGGTTTTGTTCTACGCAGCCGATTGGTCGCTCATTGGCACAAGGTCATCTCTGGCACGTCACATCTCTTCAGCTACAGGCATCGACGTCAAATATTTCAATTCAAAGTCAATCACGTCTACGGTGTGGCAAGATCGGTGGGAGAATGACCAGATTCATCCAATTTTCCAAGCATCCGTTGGTGAAAGGCTTTCATGGCTGGCTCGCCGCGAAACTACCAGACTTGAGGATATGGCATACTGTATGCTTGGAATCTTCGGCATATCTATGCCTCTGATATACGGGGAGGGGTCTCGGGCTTTCATGAGACTGCAAGAAGAGATTTTGAAGGCTTCGGACGATCATTCTTTGTTCTGCTGGTCTTGGTCTGCATTTTCTGGTACGGGCAGTCTACTCGCGTCTCGCCCACATGCCTTCGAAGAAGCATCTCAATTCACCCCTCGATCAAACAATAGGCCACAGCCATACAGCACGACGAACGCGGGGCTATCGATTCAACTTCGAACGCTATCATGTTGGTCATCATATATCGGCATTTTCAATGTTGACACCATACACAAAAACGAAGATACAGGTGTGTTACTGTCAGGGGATCCAACCACAGGTCGATTTATCAGGTGTCCTTATCCAGGAGTCCCGATTCATCTTTGTCACACAAGAGGACTGAAAACCCATTCTATGGATATGTTTGTGCCAACCAACAGAACGGGCCGTCGTGTGATCGAAGCAACGCCTTTCGCAAGAACAGCGTCAGCCAAAGCTGGGGTTCTACTCTCCTTTGATACAAGAGACAAATTCGTCGAAATTAAGACGCTCCCTGTGGGCAGTTTCTTGGGAACCTCAAGTATAGTCGATATTCGGTTCCAAAAATCAGCTTTGGATAGAAGCGCATGTGGAGACGCCGAGTCAAACTGGTTTGCCGATACAGTTGACACAGCTCCGGACATTTTAGGAGCTACACTGGTCAATTTGAAGCTTTCCAGGGAATTCCAACACATAATCGAGTCCTTTTTATTCTTTATAAAACAACCACAAGCTGGTACGCGACGAGAGCTAGAGTGGCATTACTGCCGCATTCCCCATGCCGCAACTGACTTCGTTGGTTGGTCGCGTTATGCAGCTCCTCAAATGTGGCAGTCGGAACATCAGGGAATAGACAGGCGGAAGTATGTCCAAAAGGCTCTCATGGAACCTGAATTTGCGGATGCCTTGAATTTCTCTGTCGCAGGCAAAGTCACTGTGGCTGTTGCGGCTAGAACGTCGAAGACGGTAGGTGGAACGCTGCTGAAGCATGTACATCTTACTTGACCTAGCCTGGCGAGGAGCATATGTAGAACCTCTCTCATAGATCTTGCACACACTTAAACGTTGACGTCCGATCTTACAGCTATCATGACGCTTCAATGACAGGGTTAGCAGCGCGTCACTTAATTCGACTGAGTGAATGTCCGTATCATGGATTCCTCTTCAAAGCTATGACTTATTCACTGTCTGCCTGATGAACTAATCTATGGTTCGCCAAGAGGGAAGAGCAGCAAGCTGACCATTTATTCCTGCCTTTGGGGAAACGCCCTCCAAGACCCAAAGCTCTGAGGCTTGCTATATCGTATCAGGACATACAACAAGCGAAATACCACTTTTTAGTGGAATCTGGCATACGCAAATAAGCTCAAGCTGGCGTAATCTCCAAAACCTGCCCTTCAGTCGTCCTAATTTCAACAGTGTACTTATTTCCATCGACAAGAACAATCTCGGCATTTCCAACCCGAAGTTTCAGCTTACCTCCAATCTTCGATGTTATACCTGCTCTCTTGAAGGCTCCGTTCTCCCATTCGACATCAATAACAAAGTTGCCTCTTGCGACCAGTCCCTTTGCACTACCCGTTGGCACGGCTTCACCCGGTAAAGCAGGAAGAATATGCACAGTACCCGTGTGACTTTGAAGCAACATTTCTGTGATACCGCTCGTGAACCCGTAGTTCCCGTCAATCTGGAATGTCGATCCCTTATCTGTGTTCCATAGGTTCGCGGTGGGAAATGTAGCGAACCAACCCTTCACCTGCTCCCATGCATCCGCTCCTCTGAACGATCGAGCGTACATGTTGATCATCCACGTGCGACTCCACCCTGTGCTTCCTGATCCCGCTTCCCTGCGACGGTCAAGTAGAACCTGAGCGGCCTCGGACAGCGTTTCGTTGACCAATGGTGAGAATTCTTTCCCAGGATGCAGAGCGTATAAAGGTGAAAGATGACGGTGACTAGGCGCCGATTCTTTGTATTCATAGCGCCATTCGAGGATCTGGCCCTTGGAACCAATTTGCGCAGGCTTGATGCGAGGCAAGAAATCTTTAGCCTTCTTCAGGTCTTGGTTGGTATCATCGATTCCCAAGATGTCCGCCGCCTCGATGATTGCACTAAAAACGTCGTGCATGAGCTGATTGTCCATGGGTATGTCGATATCCATTGGCTCCGAGCGACCAGCCACGCTGAAATTGCCCGGGACGACAAAAGTGTTCTCTGGTGACAGCGAAGGACCTGTGATTCGATAACCCTCGTGTCCAAAGGTATAACACTCATAGAACGTAGCCACGTCGATTAAGAAGGGATAGGCAACGTCTGCTAAGAATGCCTTGTCGCCCGTGAAGTGGTAATGATCCACCATATGCTGTACAAGCCATGAGGCGCCCATGGGCCACATGGTAGAAGATGTGTAGTTGTCAGTCGCACCCGGGTCGCCCCAAACGTCCAGATTGTGGTGAAACATTGTGCCGCCACAGCCATACATGGCCTTCGCCATGGCTTTGCCTCTTGGGTTGGCCACTTTCATCAAGTCAAACAAAGGTTCTTGTGTCTCGATCAGATTCGTTGGACCGGCAGACCAGTAATTCATCTCGGTGTTGATATTGATAGTATACTTTCCGCCCCAAGCAGCCGTGGTTTTGTTGTTCCAGATGCCCTGGAGATTCGCGGGCATATCTATGTCGGCTTCGGTGTTTCGTGAAGCTCCAACGAGCATGTGGCGGCCGAGATTCCAAGTGAGAGTCGACAGCTCAACATCACTTGAATCGTTCCGGGCTATGGCCACTCTCTCATCCGTGGGTAACGCAGAAAGTCCTCGCGGTGATTTGCCAAGATCAATCGAGGCCCGTCCAAGAAGGCTGCTGGAGTCTTTGAGGGCTTCATCCCTTAGGTCTGAATAACCCTTGGTCAGTGCAGCGTTCAACTTGCGATCAATCTCAGCCTCCCATTCGTCCTGAGACGCAAAGCGGTAATTAGTCTCTGCGTCGAAGAACAGGTCAATGGCCGTAGCTCCCGTGATCCTGAGAACGGAACCATCGTTTTCGAACTTCGCTACTTTAAATTAGAACGAGCGGGTACTGTAACTCAGGGGCTCTGCATACCTCCCGGTGCCACGAAACGAGCCTTACCAGTAAACAAAATTGGGTTTTCATCAAGAGGCTGTCCGCTAGAGCCCATCAAGGTGACTGAGTTGACGCCGCCTGCAGTGGATGCAACATTGACCAAAATGTTTGCCAGTCGACTGAAGCTAGCCTTGAGGTTTAGAGCACCTTCCTCACTGGAAGTGAAACGAGCGGCGAGCACCCCAGCTGGGTAGCTCGCGACGAATTCCCGCCTATCATTAAGTATCGTTAGAGAGAGTATTCAATACGCGGAAAAGACTATACACACGTGAAGTTAACTCCGTCGAAAGCGTACGAGGAGCCCGAGTTACCCTGCTTTGTGTCAAGCCACCTCACGTAGTTCTCCAAGTTACCACTGTGCCCGAAGTCAAGATCCAAATTGCCGAAATATCCAAACTGACGTTCGGATTTCTCGGCCGGGGTCATCTCCCTCAACACAAGCTGGCCGCCTTCGGTAATTTTGCCAGAGAGAAACAGCTCACGAGCCACAGGTAAGGTCGCCAAGGCGTTGGGAGGAGTTCGGTCTTGGATAGGACCGGACCAGATGGTATCTTCGTTGATGGTGAGGGTTTCGTTTGCACCTCCCCAAACAGTTCCCCCGAGTCGTCCATTGCCGATCGGAAGAGCGCCCTGTTCCCATTCTGTTGTTGGTTTTGTGTACCAGAGGTAACGACTTCCATCAAAGGAGGATGTGGCGTTGCTTGCGGTGGCAAGCAATGCTGCAATAAACAAGGCATGTGTTGTGTGACTATGGAAGTTTCGAAACCCAAGCTTAATCGACGCATAACTCCCTCGATAGACCTTTCAAGGCATCAGTCTCATTTTATAGATTTCGCTTGTAAGTCGACTACCTCTGATGACACTGCACTTCCGCCTGTCATGCACACCTTGCAGCTCCATTCTGATTGCTGGCCAAAATCCGACGCTCGTGATGCAATGAGGAGTAGTGACATTGCGGGGAAGACGAAGTGTGTGGGGCAGGTATGTCTGCGCCCATCCCCGACGCCCTACTCTGGGCAACAAAGTCTATTTCACATTCGTGGAGAAACAAAGGACAGTTCTCAAAATGGCTTGCAGGATACGATCGTCAACCGTCTATCACGTCTAATTACTTGGACACCCCGCCGGCTAAATGCAGCCTGCGAGTCATCCTTCAAATTCGATCTCAGAAGGGTAATATTCGCCTGTCATTCACTCCCGTGCCAATCAAAGCGAACATACAAACAGCGTCAATATGCAGGTACAAGAAGGGTCAGCAACTCGTGTAAACAATCGTATTCGGCAATCTCCCGAACGTCAATAATACGCTACGATGTCATCAAGCAGCACGTGGAAGACTTAAGTGAACACCAACGTAGGATGCACGTTGAATGACTGATTCTGTGTTGGTGGGCATCGCAAATGAGTATTAATGAAAGATACAATAGCTAGCTCTTAGCTTGATTATAAGGACGTAAGCTACGTGCCTTCGGTTTCTCCCGTCGGATCCTCTTCGTTCCGGAAACTAAGCTTCGCCATAGATGAAATGATCTGTCACACACTCATCGCTGGCTTTCTGCCGGCTTTACCTCGTACGTAGTTGTGACCATGATTCCACCATGCTGACCACTAGACTTACTTGTCAAGCTTCCGTCGCGGTCACCGCTAGCCTGAGGCCAGTTGGCGGATTCGGAAGACTTGACAATATGCTCTTCGCTTGAGTTGTTATCGAACTCGGTCATGTTGTACTTGTTGTGCCTTCTCTTTGCAGGCATAGACCGGTCGGTGCTCTGGCCGCCACCTCCAATCGTGACCAGCTGATGACCATATCTATCACCTGATCCGGTGTACTTCATGGCCCCGCTGCTGCTGCCCTTGCTCGAGCTGAGCCAGTGAGCCGAAGAGAAGAGAGGTCTGATGCAAGCTGCGTTCACGGCGATAATGCCAACAAACTGGCAGGGAACAACAAGTCAGTACCTTTCGGAGTTCCAAAGGATAGATCTTGCTTACAGTTTCTCGGATGGCCCAGATGGTGCTGACATTGATCCCGTCAATATCTTTCAACGACAGAATGCAGCGTAGCAAGGCAGCGATCATGACAAAAACTCCCGAGCAAAGTAGGACACCAATGGCGAGCTTGCGTTTGATACTGAGCTTCACCGTCCATAGAAGAGGCAATGGAATTGAAACAATGCACATATCAGTCCTTGAACAATCATTAGCCCCAAAACCTTCCCACAAATTAGTCTTAAAAGCAAAAGAACTTACGTTACATTGAGAACAACCAAGCTCAAGTAGTTTGGAACGGCCAAAGTGCACTCGTCTCCTGGGTATGGCACAACCTGCCAGTTTCTTTGCACAGGTGTACAATGCCCCCAGATAACAACGATTACGCCACAATACGCTAAAATTGTCGCTATAGCAGTCCACTTCACGATCTTTTGTTGTCTTGTCGCAAGTCTGTGTAAACACCCATGTTCAGCTCGACTCCTTATAGAGTAGGTGGTAAAGACGGAGGAAGGACGTACGTGATGCGGCTGAAAAAGAAGAGAATGCAAGCCTTCAAGCACCAAATAAGAGTAACGTAGAAGTTCCATCCCGCCAGCAGGCACTTCGAGCCAAATTCGAACTTGGCGATTTCTTGGGGTGTCAGAGTCGCGCCGATTTCGTCGGTAATCCCAATGTTGGTTCCATTTTGACCTGTTGAAGGGGCACAAATTAGACGTTGAACTAAACAAGTGCAGGGAAGGGACAGACCAACCGATGAGCTCCAGCATGCACAGTTCTAACTGCAAGATAGAGTTAAGGTAAGCAATCTGTCCAAGACGTCTGGGATATGATTGGTGTGACTTACAGTCCAGAAAATCAAGCACAGAACTGCAAAATAGTCATCCCCTTGCCAATTGAAGCCGATTATTCTCCAGCGAGCGAATATTCGAAGTAAAATCACAATTACACCAAGACCGTACTCTGTCCAGGCTTCAGTCTGGAAGGGAGTCGCCATTGTGAAAGAGGAAAAGACACGAAAGGAGTGAAGAGGCCAGCCAAGCAAAACACCCTCAACAGCCGTCAGAACCACCAAAATAACCGACACAAGGCCGGTGGGAGTTTTCGGGGCGCCTCGGATTAAAAGCCGCATTCCTTCGATCAAAATGTGTTTACGTACAACGTTTTCTCGCCATCTGGACGAGGATCGAGTCTGCTTCCCCTGTGTGTGATTGACAGGGGATTAGCCCCCGAAACGACATAACGTCTTCAGCGGGTGTTACTGAAAAGGACAATCCTTGGATCCGAAGTTCCGGCAAGTCACAATTGACAATGCCCTCTCCTGTTTGGGCAGGCAGCGATCGACGGGGAAATCGTTCTAATCAGGCTCCCAGGGAATCAAGGCAACAATGTACTGTCTTGGCAAAGAATCGGGCCGCCGCGATATTCCTTCCAGCCGATAACCACGTGCGGGCATGGAATATGAGTCGGCCAGCTGTTCATGTTGGCTCCTGCGGCGAGATAAGCCAAAGCTCGGCGGTGGTTGTATGAGCATCGCGCAGCAATGAAGTCCTTGCTCTGCACGTATCCCAGGCATAGCGCATTTCCTGCGCCCACTGAGCATTTCCAAATCTGGACACCTCTCCTGGTCTCTCAAGGATATGACCGTTGACTTGAACATTCACAATTCCCTGGCGGCTCACCGGTAGGTCTGAGCTCGCACTGATCATCACTATTCACAACGAATCAGATAGTCTGGGCTAATGTTAGCCAAGCAATGTTATCCATTTGGACTCTTCAATTCCGACCCATAAGTACTTGGTATCCGTGTGCTGAAGGTGAAAAGGGCCCAGTCTCCGTGCGTCTTTGGTCCAACACAACGTAGCATCCGCCAGAGCGGTGATCCGCAGGACCACTTGAAAAATTTCTCAGACCAAACGGAAGCAATTGAATGGTCGAGGGTATTATCGCCAAGATAGACCCCCAAGGGCATGGCCTTGCCAGCAGGGGTCTCGCTCCATATTACGAAATATTACAGGCCATGAAGGGTACGTGTGCATTCTCCATCAGCCGCAGGTCTCATAGTCACGCATGACAATTGCTCACAATTTCCGTAAAATGGGTCAACAGTTTTCATCTTCCAGTTGTCTGGTAGGCTAGTTGGCGATGCTGTCAAAGCTGAATGCAGACGCGGATTTGGTTCCTCTTGTGGGAAATCCCTGATCGATTCAACCCCCCTTATCAGATTCGTCGCGTAAACACAGATGGAGACGGCCCACAGTCGGTCGGCGAAAGGGAACAGTCAGTCAAAATTAGAAGTGATGTGGGCGCCACTCCCGTCCGGCCCCATATCCCGAGCTTCATAATTCTGCTCGTTCCAGATTTCCCACGGGGGAGAAAGGCACCCCAGACCTTGATGGAAGTTCTCGGGCTCCAATGGTCAACTTGTCTCCACAACTCAAAAAGCACGACTCTTGGGTGCATTTCTGTGCGAGTTGCTCGCGTTCACTTTCATGTTGCGAGAACGCTGAAATATCACCAAGAAAACTGCTGCAGAATATCAAGGGTCTTCTAGAACGACGATGTTGCATTTATTCACCCTAATGGTTCGATGCCAATTACGGATTATGATCATGACCTGCAGTATCGGAGCATTCGATGGCAGGATGCAACCTGAACGGTCTTGAGGAAGCTTGGTACGCCTCATCCCTACTGAAAGAGGAAGGAGGCAAGCCTTCGTACGACGAAGAACCTTTCAAACACGCCTGAGAAGGATCATATTCAGAGCCTCCCGATCCCTTTTTTGCCTTCGTTTCGTTCTGGGCCAGGGGCAACTTCTGTAACTGTCGCATTCTGGGCTGTGAATGTGAGAGATTTTGACTGCCCTAGAAGTTGCATCCTGCGATGCCTTGCAACCAGCATTCCCATTGGTTCATGAAGTCTCACTAATGATGATCGTCGGTCGGTAGTTTGTCGCCCAGCGAAACCCGGCATAGAGCCGGACAGTTTCCATGTCGAAGCGTCGTTGGGGCTGTACAAAAGGTCTTGAGATATTCACAATGGGCTTAGTTCGTGCATGTTCTTCAGAGGATCGACCCCGGAGTTGCTTCCGGTTGCTGTATTACTTCTGTGGGTGCTCTCATGCACGACGGTCGCTGAAGACACACGCAATCCTAGCACCAACAGTGGTTAAAGCTGTTTTGCGTGTGCGGGGACCCCAGACATCGGCCCAGCCGTGGTGGAGATGGTTCTGTCAGACCCTGCAGGTTGCGACCATTACCACCGAAACCACCGGCCATTGAAGCGGTTCAGTTTCCTTTTGGAGAAGATGGCCATCACTTGGCAACGGCGCAGCTTTCCCCAGTCGTATGAGGGCAAGCTCAGCATACTCAAGGGGTAGATAGTAGGTTGGTGCATGTCAGATGAGGGGGGGGTTGAGGTCGATACGTGCGAGAGGAGAAAGCGAGAATCGGACGCGGGTCTAAGACATTGCGTGAGAGGGTGCATACAAGAATCCGCGACCTAGCCACTCGAAGGGGTGCATCGGTCATTTTTCTCGTCATTGTCTAAGCTTTCTCGCCAATTCTCTCGAAATCATCCCGACTTTAGTCCTGAACTTTCAACATGGGTTCTATTCCTCAAGATCTCGTTTACGACTTCGTCATTTGCGGGTAGGTCCTTGGCACTTGGACAGAACACAAATTTTGGGGGCTCCTCGGAAACTGACCTGGCTGTCTCTGTTTTCTAGTGGCGGCACTTCTGGTTGCGTTGTAGCTAGCCGACTTGCCGAGAACCCCAACACCAGCGTTCTTGTCATTGAGGCTGGCGAACACAACAAGGACTTGGAGAATGTTCATATGACAGGGGGGTGAGTCAAAGAACTGGAATTGCAACTCACTTTATCGTTCAATGCTCACAAGCTCTGCTTCGCATTCTAGTTGGTCCCAACTTTTCGACAAGGAGACCGACTGGAACGTCATCAGCGAACCCAAGGCTGCTGTTAATAACAGACAAGTGAAGCTAAGTCGGGGCAAGTTTCTCGGTGGATGCTCAGGATGCAATGGTACTCTATGCATTCGAGGCGCCAAGCAGGACTACGATGACTGGGGCGCTGAGGGCTGGAGTGGCGAAGACTTTTTCAAGTATATCCGCAAGGCATGTAAATCCGAGACCCTTTGATTGCTCCGCTCTCCTCATTAGTCGTTCGCATGTCTAACATGCAATTTGCGCAGGCCGAGAACTTCCACGGAAAGGATTGGTTCAAGGCGTCTTCCGACCATGGCACCGAAGGCCACCTCGACATCGAGCCGCACGATCTCGCTCCCATCTCCAACCTTATCATGGACTCCATGGTTGACAAGGGACTCCCACTTGATCACGACATGTTCACCCATGGAAACAACCCTCATGGATGTGGCCATGCGCCTAGAACAGTGTACAAGGGAACTCGCACGACTGCAGCCAACTTCGTTACAAACGCCAACACGAGGGATAATCTGCATCTCATGACTCAAACGCACGTTGACAAGGTTATCATCGAGAACGTCAACGGGGAGCTCAAGGCTACTGGCGTCCGTGCAGTCAAGCCCGACGGAACCCCCGTCAACATCAAAGCAACCAAAGAGATCATTGTGAGCGGCGGTGCCTACTGCAGTCCCAATATCCTGAATCGCTCTGGCATTGGTGCCAAGTCTGAGCTGGAGAAGTTCGGCATTCAGACTTTGGTTGACTTGCCCGGTGTCGGTAAGAATTTGATGGATCATCTTGTGAGTCTACCTCCTTCACATATGTGTCAAACCTTCTGCTTACAGGAGCACCAAGATCGTTTTCATGTTCTACGAGACTGAAAAGGAGGGCCTGACCAACGACCATCATGTTTATCACGGCGATAACTTTGCGAAGACATATGCTCTCTGGAAGGACCACAAGGCGGGCTTTCTGTCGACCTTTCCCTTTGGTGCGTTTGCGTACGCCCGCTTAGATGACCGTCTCGCCGATTCGGACTTGTGGAAGAACGCCCCTCGCGAAGAGGGACGTGACCCGATGGGTCTCACGCCGAAGCAACCCAACATTGAGTTCTTCACCACCGAATGCTACGGTGGGCCCAAGCAGTTTGATAAGTTTCCTGTCGACAACAAGCATGCCTTCAGCATGATCGCCGAGCTCTTTGCCCCCAAATCTCGGGGCACTGTGACCCTTCGCAGCACTGATGCCACCGCGGTCCCTGTCGTCGATACCAACTACCTTGCCGACCCTCTTGATGTCGAGGTCCTCGCTGAGGCGTGCCGATTTGGTAATGAGATCATCATGCAAGGCAAGGGTACCAAGGGTATCGTCAAGGGTTCTTGGCCAAGCGAACTTGTACACCACAAGTACACGACTCGTGAGGAGTGGATTCCTTACGTGAAAGACAACGCAACCACCTGTGAGCTCTCCACCAGTTACCTAACATCCTTGAATGATTGCTAAGATCACGAACTAGGCTACCACGCTGCTGGTACTTGCGCAATGGGCAAGGCAGACGACCCGAAGGCTGTTGTGGACCATACCCTCACTGTGAAAGGAGTCAAAGGCTTGCGTGTAGCTGATTGCAGTATCATGCCGACCCTCAACGGTGGCCACACGCAGATGCCGGCCTACGGCATTGGTGAAAAGGCTGCCGACCTCATCAAGGAAACTTGGAAGCTCAAGTAAGAGCCTATTTGGATGAGGAACGCCGGTTGGAAGCTTCATCTCAGTCCTGGTTGAGAAAACTAGTTACCAAACGCGTCTTGCTTGACGCGTGAATCATCAAGAGCAGCCCGAATTAGGCTAGCTTCTTTTGTACGCAGTTAAAATGGAAATAATGTGACGAATCATGATTTCGGGGAACTTCGCACGCCTCCACGAAACGAATTTACTAGTGATGCCAGTCAGCCGGTCTAGCACACCTTCGAAGCACATAAGATGCGACTGAGCTCAATCGAGAAACAGTCGTCTTGCAAGCACACAACATCAAGTGCTCAAGAATAGCAAAAG